AAAATGAATGATTGACTTGCACATTGACTCGCCCTTTGTGTCTGGATGTTCCGCGGCTGCTTGATTCCTGCTTGCCAATCACTGAATGTACCGGCAATGGTATAGTGAGCATTCTAGTCACATCTCGCATACCGCATACTGTACCCTACCCTACCCTTCACATCTCCCTCACACGCTCACACGCTTCATCCCTCCACCCCCCCCCTTCGCCCTCGCCCATTCCTCCTCTCTCCGCGCCACGCAAAGATGCGCGCCACCCTCTTGTCCTCTCACCCCCGCCTGCGAGCAATGCTCTGCGTCATCGCAGCGACGGGAAGCACTGTGCTATCGACCATGCTCAACGGAGCGCTGACCATCGCTTTGCCTTCCATCGCCAAGGATGTGGGCTTATCGGTTCAGGAAGCTCAATGGCCGCTCACCAGCTTGTCCCTCGTCAATGGTGCACTGCTGCTCGTCTTTGGTGGTTTGGCCGACACGTTTGGCAGGAGGCCCTCCTTCCTCATCGGCGTCGCCTGGCAGATTGTGAGTCTGTGCCATACAGCGCCCTGACTCGGCCCTGCGCGTCATTTCCGCTTGCACTTGCTTCAACCACTGCATTGCCCTTGCCCTTGCCCCTCCCCCTCCTTCTCCCAGATCGTCTCTCTCCTCACAATCTTTGTCACCAGCGGACAGCAGCTGATCGTGGCTAGTGCTGCAATGGGTGTCGGCGTGGCTCTCATCTCTCCCGCTTGCGTTGGAATGCTTGGAGCCAGTATACCAGAGGGCAATTTTAAGAATAACGCGTTCGCTGCCTTGGGAGGAGGCCAGCCGGTGGGCTACGTCATGTGCGTATCTCTTTTCCCCCGCCCCCCAGCCCTGCCATGGCGTACCCCGTTGACTCTCCTGACACGCCTCTGGCCATGATCCCACCACGCCTCGCTGCATGCTCTGTCATCTCAGTGGGCTGCTATTGGGCGGCGTGTTTGCGACAAAGTGGCGCGCCATCTATTACTTCATCATCGGCTTCAGCGCCCTCTTCTTCGCCTTGGCCATCGCTGTGCTGCCAGCGGACGACGAGATGCTCATCACAGGCAGAACCGTGCCGCTCGAGGGCCATACCGATGGGGCGCTGCGAGGGCAGAGCGATGCCAGCAGCACAGACAATCTGACAGGTGGCACAAGACCCACATGGCGTCAATCGCTGGCCACCTTTGACTACATGGGTGCAATCTTGGTCACCAGTGGTCTGATTCTGCTCACCTTCAGTCT